ATATATATATGTTAATTTTTATTTGAGAGTGAAACAAATTTGTTCCTCCAAAAAGAAGGAAGACTTCTATTTTTTGTAATCTTACTGTTTTATTTATAACTTTTTTGCACCAAACAAAGATTGAACACTTATGTAGCTTCCAATTCCATGAAATTATTTCTATCAAATGTTACCAAAAAGTAATGTTTAGTTTTATATAGAAATTGTAATTGACCTATTAAAAGAGCGGTTATTTTTACCATAATTGTTTCATTTTTCTTGCAATGAGCAGGTCTCACAAAGAGAAGCGCTCTGCATATGCCCCTGAGAAAGGAGTAAGATATGATGGTGTCTATCGAATTGAAAAATGCTGGAGAAAAGTTGGAATTCAAGTAAATGTTTTCTTTGCCATGCTAATCTTATGTTTTCTTTTTCTTAGCTTATCGAATAGATTTACTGATAGGATATTCATCACAGGGTTTTAAGGTTTGTCGGTACTTATTTGTGAGATGTGATAATGAGCCTGCTCCATGGACAAGGTTTGCCTTTTCTTTTGAAAATTAGTGAATTAGCTACACTTGTCTCGCATTTTCTCTGCTAATATTTCTTGAACTTAATTAGTGATGAACAAGGGGACCGGCCTAGATCTTTGCCTCTTATACAAGAGCTTAAGAAGGCCACTGATGTAACTGAGAGGAAGGAAAGTCCAGCTTGGGATTTTGATGTGAGATATAGTTTCTTCTCTCATTTTTTATATCAGCTTTGGTTGTTTCTTATGACTGATTCTGTTGCTTTGGTTGTTTCTTACGACTTATTCTCTTGCTTTCAGTGTGGTAGTGAAGAAATATATCAATGGAAGTCTTATAACTTATGAAACTGCATGTCTTGTGATTCAATGGCATCATGCTCCCTTGAGGAGCTCAAGAATGTGATTTTGATCCTAATTTTAATCATGCCGTGGGGTTTGCAATTGCTACATCTGCAATTGGCCACGTGCCTCGAAAAGATTATGAAATTTAGTTACCTGTTAAAAGCTTCACTCTTTTTTTTTGCTTCTAGGTTAAGATGTCATTGCCATTGCCATCATGGAAATGAGTCTCCTTTGCAAGGTTTAAAATATTTTCCTAATTAGGTTTTCCATGTTTGCAGGAAGAAGATGGTCGTTGGAAGTGGAAAATACCTCCACCCATGAGTAGAAAATCAGTCAATACAGCAAATGCTGAGGACAGGAAGAGAGCAAGGAAAGTGATAAGGCAAGCACAGAACACCACTATAAGGGAGAGGCTCCTAAAAGGTTTGTTTTTATCTGTGTTATGTACCTTTCATTAGTTGTCAAGTGTATTTCTAGAATTTCATTCTTGGAGCAGCTAGGATAATTTTTTGCTTGTATCTTCTGCTAGGATGTGATAATTTTTGTCCGTGAGTGTTATGTTGCAGATGTGTTCATGTTCTTGTGCTAACAGCTGGTTGGAGATTTCTCACCAGAGTGTTGTCTTAAATCTTGTTTTTGATTAGTTCTAGCATTTACTGAAACGTCATTGTCTTAAGTTTTTACCTTGGTTTTTAGAGATTGAAATTGGTTTCAACAAGTTGTCTTGACCCTCTGTTTTGGTTCTAGAATTTATCAAAATATCAGGATCTTCTTGATCGAGGGAATAAACATAAAGTTGTTGATAGCTTTTCTTTTTTGAGTATTGAAGTTTGATTTCCCTTGTTTTTTCAGATGATGTTATATAACAAAATAGGTGTATGTTAACAATGCATATTGCTTTTTAATTGATAAGCCTCATTATGCAGAATTCTCCTGTCAAATCTGCCGGGGAGTGATGAACCTTCCAATTACAACACCTTGTGCTCATAACTTCTGCAAGTCATGCCTGGAAGCTGCATTTGCCGGCAAGACCTTTGTGAGAGAGAGAAGCAGGGGTGGGCGAACACTTAGATCCCAGAAGAATGTTATGAACTGCCCTCGTTGTCCAACTGACATCTCTGATTTTCTTCAAAATCTTCAGGTCTGGTTTCCCCATATTTCTTTTCACTTGCAAAATCTGTCACACCTCAAGTCAGGGTAATCTTGCATGTTTCTTGGCACTTTCATTGTGACAGGTTAACCGAGAATTGATGGGTGTGATTGAGTCACTTAAATCGAAGTCTGAAGAGAATGGAGAAAATGCTGAGGAGTCAAGTGAAGAGATGGAGGGTCAGGAGGAAAACCCTGATCTGACATCCAAGGATGATGAACCTAAGCCGAAACGAACTTGCAGGCAAGTGAATGTAGATGCTGGTGATTGCTCTGGAAAAAATGATGAAGGAATGGAAAACAAGATCTCTGCAGACAAAGCTGGTGGTTTGGATGGAGAAACCGAAGCTAACAAAATCCAGCCTGTGGTGCCTGGGGATTCTGATATGGTAGATGCTGAAGTTAAGACTGGAATCAAGAAAGCTGAAGGGGCTGCTACAGATGATAGAAATGATTCACCATCTAGCACTCTGCATGTTCAAACCTCTGATGAAGATTTGGAGTAACAGCCTGTGGTTCAACCGCAAGTATATCTCATTACTGCTTATGGTCAAACTTTATAAGGTTACTTTTGTTTAATTTTAAAGGTTTTTTCTTTGTTTTGTCAGCTATTTTGCTGAGCTTGAAGCTTTCTGGTTGCTTCCCATTAGTAAATTTGTTCATATAGCTCCGGAATGATGCTAGATATGGCTGTAAACATTGAAACTTTTTATGCAAAATATATTGGGGGGTTGGTGATTCTGCAATTTCTTTTTCATACTTCCTTTCTGTTTTCTTCTGTTTTTTTTTTTTTTTCCGAAAAAAAATACATCTGCAAAATATATTGAGAATACTTCTGTAGGGATCATAGTTGGAGTATTCTTTACTTGCGAAATGATTGATTTCCTTTGTTTTTAAGTTCTCTTCCCTTCTCATCATTGGGAAGGAATATATGTTATTGATGTTTTCTACATGAAATTGGTATTCATTCATGTGTCTATGTGTGTGTAAGTATATAGGTGTTATACAATTATGTACTAAGGCAACCCATGTATGTTGTACATTTATATACTTGGGCAACCCATAGAGGTTTGTTAGTGTTTTTTTTATTTATTGTATTTTATTGAAGCTACAATGATGAATTTGTCAATAAGAGAGTACCAATGATTGAAATGGAATACCTTGTAGAGACAAATGAATATTCAGTGGTTAGTGCGTACGAATTTGAGTTAAATTATATTTTTTATATTTAAAAAATATTTATATTATTTTATAATTAGTATAAAATAAATTACTTTTAATTGATGAATATATATACTGTTAAGTAAAATAATTTAATAAAAAATATTTTTATTGTATTATAATATGCTTCTATTTTCTTTACTAGTTTAAGCGAAGCCATTTAGAGTAGATTGGTAATTTTTGTTTCTCTTCTCTATTTATATAAATTATTATCACATTTTTATTTATTGCCATATAATTTAATGACATAATTCTCACATTTTTATAAGATTATAAATTTTAATGTAAAAGAAAATCAAAGGGTGAGTTTAACATAACTTAGAGTTTGAAATTTATGATTCATGGTTTGATTTAATTGTAATTCTCAAAAAATTATAGAGATGTATTTTTCAAGTTTCCAAATAATTTCCTTAAATATTTTATAAAAAAATTAATTTCTAAAAACAGCTTCCGTAAAATAATTAATTTTCTCTAATTTTAAAATTGACACTGATTCTATCTTTCATTAGATTGCCATAAATTGAAAT